TTGCTGTGCTAGGACGTGATCTTATTTGAGTTGCCTTATCAATTGCAATAGGTTTTCCCACTATTGCTGCAATAGATAGTAAAGCCTTATGTGCAAATATTTCTGGCGACAACTTCGGCAGCGAAATCCAAACAGCAGCCTTAGAGGTTTCTTCCTTAGGATTGTAACCAACAGTCGATGGAAAAACTCTATATTGATGCTCTTTTCCATTGTGTTGAAAGTAATTCACAGCTCTTGCTAAACAACACACATAATCTTCATATTGATCACAACGAATTAAGAGTTGCCATTGGGCCAATGAACCTAACAAGTAATTACCTTTGATGCCAATGATTTTTGGCAGATTATTCCTTAAAACCTGCAGATTTAGTGCGTCGCTGGACAATTTAATGATCACAGCTTGGTGTAATCCTTCTTCCTTTGCAAATTCTTCACGTTCCTCCAATGAAAACTGAATCGTAGGGATTCCATGAACAATTTCAAAAGGTTTCAAAGTCGTTTTTGTGAGAGGTGCGGCAGATTGTTTGTGATTCAAACTTGCTGCATATGTACGAATGTTGTTAATGTTTGGAATAACTTCATTAGAGTTTGAATTCTGCTCTCCCACAGCCAAAGGCTGGGGAGAGACGTTTGCTGCCATGGAAGGGCTCTATTACGCAACAGTTTCAACTACGTTACAGTAGATTGCTACACTACATCGCGGAGACAGATGGCCTGTTGAAAATCTGGAAATTCTCGGAGCTACAGTAATAGTGTAGAAAAATTTAAGATCTGTCCCAAATGGCTATGGATTTGATGATGAAACCAAATGGGGATTGTTCGCAAAGAGAAGGGGGGTCTTTTGACACCAAATTTGTGACAATCCACCGCCGGATTCCGGAATTATGGCCAATGAATAGTGTCAGAATTACTATTCACCCTTCTTCCTAGAGAGAAGGAGCTTGAAGAAGATGTATGTTCATTAAAGGATGGGGCGGTCTCGACCTTCTTGTCGTTGGCTTCTATCATTTTTTGGTGAGGTCCTCGAGCATTTTTGTGATGTTCATGGAATCCTCGAGCTTCTTGGGATTCAGAAAGCGATTCAATCCTTTTGGTGAGGTCCTCGAGCATTTTTATGATGGCGGGATCAGTCATCGACCCGTTATTGCTTGATCTCTCCGGCACCTGATCGGCTGGAAGAGCTGTCCCCAGAGCTACCGTGCTGGGAGTTTTCTGGTGACTTTGCAGCTGAGCAATAGCTAGTTGTTGTGCCTGCAACATTTCAGTAATAACATGAAGGCTGACCTCATGTTCTCCCCTAGTTGGGGCTTTCTGAGCTTCTTGGGGATCTCCTTAATGCGCGCTTCTGTCGGTATGTGAGCTTATATTGATCCGTTGGGCATTGCGTGAGATTGCATCCACGAGGACTAGCTCTGGTGCATTCCCAGGGTTTTGTAGCAGCACACCAACATCTGGAACAACCACACTGTTTTCCCCATGGTCCTCAAGATTGCTATTTTCATCCCCGTTTACCGAGCTAGACATTTTGACCTGAAATCGAAGATCTTGGACAAGATAAAGCGTGAAAGATAACCTGCATTATGTAGCGAAACCAGCAAGAAAATAATCACTATTATTTTTAGCCCCACGGTGGGCGCCATACTGTTTACCGTGAAAATGGTAATAACAATTAAATTTGTTGATGGGACTCTAAAAATAAGTGATCTATTTTTATGCCAGTTTGTAAAGCAGTTGATGCTAAGTATATGAGATCTAAAAATGAAATGAAGTTAAGGAGGGAGCTATAACCAACTGATAGGCCAATTACTTGGGACCTCGGGCTTGTCAGTTCTGGGCCTCGAGGTCGATTCCGGGGCTCAGCCACGAGCTATTGAGGATCATCGGGGCAGGGCTAACAGTTATGAAATAATCAATGAAGGCTCTTTGTAGCCAATGATAAGCAATGAACGATGAACAAATATGAAGGCAATAATATCAAGAGAGCATATAAGAGAGCAAAGAGAATATTTTTTGATATTTCTCGCGGAGCAATTGGAGCCATAACCGACCCACACAAATGTCAAAGACCCCCTTTATATAGGAGGGGAATCCCAATATAGTACAAACGCATTAATTACAAAAATAGGGGGATGAGACAACTAGATGGGGCCAGGCTCTGCCAGTACTAGCTGCATGCCTAGGGAACTCCCCATTCCCATCGTGACCGCGACCAACATTGTCGTTAGGTCGGGCGTCAACGAACCTCGAGGTAGGGAGATCGACCACAGCCTCGCAGCCTCGAGGTCTCAAGATGATCCCCGAAACACCTCAATGACGAAAAATTGGACCCTTCGATTTCGCCGTATACAACTACAATACTAAATTATTCTATACGTTTGTAATTAATGCTAGCCCAATCCCAACTCAAGATCTAAAGGTTTACATCTTTGCTTAGAAGCTAAATTGGGCAAACTTGATAGCTTCTCTTTAGATCGTTTTCCATGTGTAAGGGTAAACGTGCATGATTCTTGGGAATCTTGATCATAAGAGCTGAAGCTAATATTGGATTCTTCAAACAGTGTAAACAGATTGGAAGAATCATAGCGCAAATTAGGATCGGAGAAATATGGTGATGAAGTCAAGCCATGATAATTAGTGATATTGTTATTACTACTTTGAAAAGCTTGAAGATAATAGCTGAGTCTGGCCTTTGTTTCTTGAAGCTGCAGCCTTTTCTTTCTCATCCTTTCCTTCTTGTGAGCATTTTGATGACCTCCCAATGCTTGTGAATTTGAAAAATCCTTTAAACAATAGTGGCACTCAAACTTCTTCTCCGTTGGGTCGTCGTCTTTTGCATCATTTGAAGGTTGTTTTTCTCTTCCTGCTGAAATTGTGGAACATGATGAATTCACACTCTCACGATCTCCTAATTCCCCCTTCATATATTTTTGACAAGGATCAAGTTCAAAACCAAATATTTTAAGCCTCTTAATCTTCATGCCGGATTTAGAGAAGGATTCATTTCCTCCAATATTGCATGATGGATGAAAAAAAGTAGAGATATCTTTTTCCATATTCTTGATCAGTTAGATGAATGATTTAAGATAAATATTGAAAATGAAAAAAAGGACAATGTTTAGGGTGGCTGATGATGCAGTATATTTAGTTCTGCATCTCTTCCTTATATAGTAGTACTTTCTATTGTTTCTTGACTATGTATTGTATCTTCAAACGAGAGTTGTTATGTTTTACGAGCATGAATGGGACATAAACGTACCTTAGTCAATATATTTAAGAAAAAAAGGAGAGGCAAAGAATGGTCAGATTAGTGAAGCTATCTCTCGTGCATTATAAATAAATCTTATTCATATTAATGTGGTAGATATATACACCTTGAACTTTTCCTGCCAAAGAGGATTAGACTGTATGATTAAAGAATTAATTGGTTCTCTACTTACTCTTAAAATATTTTCATATGGAAAAACATGCATTCATGGTACCACTTAATCAATTAAAAATAAATATTTCATGCTTGAGGAGAGGAGATTGCTTTTATATAAAATGGAAACAACAAAAGTCAAAGAAATATATGAGGATGTAATCGCCTGGAAGGACTCCTAGCCTCTGCTAGCAATCTATCTCCGAACTTAAAATTTTTCTTTAATATAACTTTTATTGACCAATTCATTAGTGGATTCATGTATTATTACTCAATCAAAGCATATAAAATTCCAGAATGTAACTGAATTAATTTTAATAATATTCTGTGGGTGCCTAGTCCCATCGACCACAGCACCCTAAATTGTGTTCATACTGTGCTGTGATTATTCATCACTTAAATGAAGGTTCTTTGCAATAATCCACACTCCATTTTATAGAATAAGGAATTAAAAAAATGAGGAAAGAATAAGTTTATCTTGACCATGTTAAAGGGAAGCAATTTAATTACAGGAGAATCGTTGTTATGTACAGCGGAATATGAACGAGTGGTTGATGAGGTAAGCATGCTTAGTATATGTATATGTATAGGGTCTTCTATGAGATCTGGGCATATCTTCTTAGAGAACAAAAACCGTATAATTTAATACCTGAAAAGCAATTGATTAATGGTAGGTCATCATCTAATTTTATTAAAGCATTTGTGTTGGACAATTGTTCACTTTGATTGCTACCCATAATTAATTTCTAGCTTTGGGACATGTTAGTTGATATGATTATTTCTTTTGTCTATTACTAGATCTTATTGTTTAACCAAAAAATGAAATTTTAGTCAAAGTTAAAATTTAGAAGAACACGGGTTATTGATAATCAAAAGAATGTATAAAAGGAAACAATTTAGGTAGCAAGAGAGTAATCAAGATAAAAACAAGTAAACCAAAGTTTATTCCAATAGTGTTTTTTTTTTACAATTGATCAGATATCTCCCTTTTATAGATATCTTGGAGATATACGTTTTGCCCAAATCATAATGAGGCTATTATGAGTAATTAAAGACATTGAATGCTATGTTACATAATCATTACATTCAATACAAATTCTCTAATGTATTTCACATTTAATGCCTATTAAATGTCGTATCTGCACTATTTTCTATTGTCAGATTCATTCCTTTTGATTCTCGGACATAAATAACTTAGATAGGTATGAGCGCTGAGTTATTTGAATAACTGCCTGTGCCTCTTCCTCTGCCATTTGCTCGTATCTGTTGCAACTCGTGCCTCTTGGCTAGTTGTAATTCATTGACCATTTGACCAGTCTACGTGTCTCGACACATCACCTTTATATTTAAATACAACTTTTTCCAATACAGATAGTCCCCCCACTTTCCATTTATTCATCAGTTGAATATTTGGGAAGTGGATTTCATTAAAAGAAAATTTTGTCACCATTAATGCTATGACAAAATTGACACTTCAATTATCGCTTCCATTTAATGCTCCGTACACATGTCATTTTTCCATTGGTTCTGCAGTTTTGCAGCCCTTTTCAAGGCTTTTTTACGGCTCCACTATTCACGAAGTGCTAGTTATCATTATTATGGTCCTTCCATTACTGCACTTTTACCTTCGGCGATTACTTATTAATATAAATATAACTTCTTTCCTTGTCTTTTACCACATAAAGCTTATTGAACACTTAATTCCTCAAATCTCAGTTCACTTCTTCCTCACATTATTGTTGATACCCAATTTTTCCCTATGTATTTTTATACAAAATAGCATGTACATGTACATATAAGCATGCCCCAAGAGTTTTTGTATTTTTTCCTAATTTTTAAGATTTTTGAAATCAATTTATTGTCTATTTTAGTAGTGCAAAATCCATAATTATTCCCAAAATCATCAGTTTTTGTGAATAATTTATTTTATTCCCATATTTATACCAAAATATAGTTAAGATAATTTTTGTACATTTTTACAAATTTATTTGGTATTTTAAAAGCTAAATTGCATATAATTGCAATTGTAGCCTACTTTAAGATTAATAGCATTTTATAATTGTAAAATCGGTTCCAATATTTTTAAATTAATATTTATATATTGTTTGTTGGCTCAGTACTTTTAATTTGCTTTCAGGATCATTTTACCATTATTATAAAAATAAAAAGAGAAAAACTGGCTATTTAAAATCTGGCCCATTGTATTTCAATCATAGCCAAATTGATCACTCTAATCGACCCAATTCTGAAACCCAATTGGACCGGCCCAGTTCTGATTTAACCCAACCCCTTTACCCATTTATCCGACCCGCCCGTTTTTTTTAATCCCAGCCGTTGATCTTTTAGATCAACAGCTCCCCTCATCCCCTTCCTTTTTTAATTCAAACGACCTTTTTACCCTACCTCATTCTCACCAACCGCCGCCTCTGCAAACCCTCCACTATCTCGAACCCTAGCATCCTCATGCCTTGTTCCACCTTGTTTTCACCGGAATCCATGGCTTCTCAGGCCATAGACAACCTATATTCACCTCCTCCGGCTCTTGCATGCCTGGTGCTCGAAGGTTCGAGGCCAGACCTCGAAGGTTCGAGCTCAGACCTTCACCGATTCGAAGATTCCGTCCATCTCCGACTTTGCTCGGGTGGCTTTTGGTTTTCTGAGCCTGTTTCTGACCTCATCCGACTTAGATCAGACATCTTTCCAAGCCTTTCTCATTCAAGGGTTCCTCTGAAACCCTAGCTATTCGAGGTTTTCTCTGATTGTTCTTTTAAATCTATGCTATATCTGTGCTTTACTGGAGTTTTTGAAACGCTTTCCCCAATTTTTCTTTCAAAAATTACTTCTTTCCGATCTAGGGTTTATGAAAAGCTTAAAATGTTTTTCTGACTCTTCCTTTTCTTTTCTTTGTGTGTATGCGTCTATACTACGTTCGTATGTATTCTTTTCTACCATGCCTGTATTGTCCTTCTACTTTTCTTTTATACATGTTACTCTTGTGCTCACATGAATATCCTTGTTATGTTTTCATTACTCTTCTACTATATGTGTTTACTGTTAAGTTCTTCGATTTT